CCCTACAAAAAAATAAATGTAGTTCATATAACAAAAAACACTACTAATTCCAGATTACTTGCTATGATGCCAGGTCAAAGACAGACACCAAATATGGTTTGTGTCCTGCAGGATGAATACTCATACATCTGTGATCAAGTTCTACCTTTGAGTAGCTGCATCTGTTGGGAGCTGATGGGATTTACCTGACCAAATGGGACAAGAGGGTCTTCACCAACAAACTGGCCATAGTTACACACTGAGACCTCACATGGAGTTTTTATGTCCAGCTCTAGCATTTCCACTACAGGACAGACATGGATCTGCTAGAGCAGATTCAGAGGAGGTCCACAAAAACATGCGACTGGAATACCGCTCCTATGAACACAGGCTGAGCTGGGGTTCTACAGTCTGGAGAAGGCTCTGGGCAGATCATACCACAGACTTTTAATACATAAAGTGGGCTTATAAAAACAGAGGGAGGCTTTTCACCAGGGCCTGTAGTAATAGGAGAAGGGGCAGTGGTTTTAAACTGAAAGAGCATAGGTTTAGATTGGATATAAGGAAGGTATTTGTTATTATAAGAGTGGTTGTACACTGGAACAGGTTGCTCAGAGAGGTAGTAGATGCCCCATCATTAGAAATGTTGAAGGTCAGGTTGGATGGGGCTTTGAGCAACCTGGTCTAGTGGTAGATATCCCTGCATATGTCAGGGGGTTTGGACTAGATGATCTTTAAAGGCCACTTCCAATGCAAACCAAGCTATGATTCTATGTGTCATGGCCCAGCCATCACAGACAGAAAGCCAATGATGAAGGGTAGCAAACAGCATTAAAAGTGATTGAAAATTGATCTTTATGGGTCCTTTACAACTGAAGATTTTCCGTGATTCTATGAAAAGCCATCAGAGCACCACAACTTGAGTAGTTCATCACAGCACGTTCTGTGAATCACATTACAGTACTATCTGCATGGATATGCTTAAAAAAATAACAAAGAAAAAAACCCACAAAACTCCACAGGTGCATCTAGTGGTCTCAGAGTATGCAAATGTCTCATACGCAGTGTTTCTCTCCAAAGATGACTCCATGTAAAATGTACTAGCCCAGCACTAAGCTGTGAAGTGACAGTGAATTTTGATATGAGCAGTGGAAAGCTGTACTTCAATTTTAAGCTTTAAAAAGAAAATCCCCCAAAAATCCAAGTACAGCTATTACTTCACAGCAGAGTATGTATGTGTTAAAAAATGCAAATGCCAAAATAAAAGTATTGCGTTTGTAACTATGGAATTTTCCTCTTAGCATTGAATTTCCATGTTTCTCTTTTGTGTTTTAACTCTACTGGACTTGACTGCTGCAACATATGATTCAAATACGCTTAGAAATCTGTAGAATACAGATACTGCTTTTGTCTCTCCAATAATTTCATTGTCCTTACAGCAACAGCCAGAAAGTTTAGAAATCCATTAAGACAGACTTCACTGCACAGTAAACCAGCTGAAACTGTGTTCAATAAGCCATGGAATTTTTGAAAAGGGAAAAAAAAAAAAAAAAAAAAAAGACAAAAAAAGACAGACAAAAAAGAAGACAACAGAACTATTTAACTTTTTCCCTGAAAACCTGCA